CCAGGTAACGACTGCACCCAGAAACGCACGGATGGTATGACATCTTTACAAAGACGCGTCTTTAAAAAGACGTTCCACCCGCGAAGCTCTTTTAGTATGGAATTTGCTCTTTTAGTGTGCTGAAGCGCACAGGGGAGATGGCTGTCTGCAACACACACAGGGGTAGTGCAACCTGCTGTGTGCAACCCACTCGACACGGGAAAACCACCACCGCTGAAGCGCCGTCCACCAGCACGAGAGCCCACCAAAGAGCGTGCTTGACTGTAGTTTATCACTACTGCAGAAGGTCAGGAGCAGAACGATAAAACCGCTCGGCTCCGAAGCGAAAAGCTGAATATGCGCTGCATCTGCTGCCTACTTATACTCACGCTGTGATCAGCAGCAGCTGGATGCAATAATCGCATGCCAATGTGCATTGGCTCGTTTAGTTTACACTCGAAGTAGATTGGTCCCTCTAAGCGAGATCCCAATTTCGTCGGTCCTCCGACGTGACGTCGAGAGTGACCGACTGAAAGGGAACTGTGATATATAGTATATATCTAAAAAAAAGTATTTTATTGCTTGATGGCAAAGCTGAATTTCAGCAGCCGTCACTCAAGTCTTCAGTGTCACATGATCCCTTAGAAATAATTATATTATGCTGATTTGGTACTCAAGAAACATTTCTTATCAATTTTGAAAACAGTTGTGCTGCTTAATATTGTTGTGAAACTCTCATAATTTTTTCTAGGATTCTTTGATAGAAATAGAAAGAACATCATTTATTTGAAATAATAGTATGTAGTTCCACTGTGTATACGCACCTTTACAAAGTCATTACCTCAATGAGTTGCACTACCATATACTTTACAAGTCTGACATTACATAATATTTTATACTGCATGACCTCACATACATACACTAACCTTCAGAAGTTTGGGGTTTTCCACTCTCTGAAGGTGTTTGATATTGTAGATAAATATTATCTGTTAACATATGACATCAGGGAAGACTAAAGTTTATTCAATTTGCATGCATGTCATGTCTCAGTAAAATCCCAAAATGATTTTTTGTGAGTCATTTTCTTTCCTCCTAAATATGAAGAGTGATTTACACTGTAGCAAATTAGCTCAAAAGGGAAATGTATAAAAATAATTACAATTATAATTAATTACAATTATTTACCTCAGCTGCCAGTAGTAACTGTAGCAGAATTAATATTATAATCAACTAATCTGTTCGTCCAGCGAACATTCAGTATAATTTCATATGAAATCTAAGAAAGGATATTTTCGTGGCCACAGAAAATAACTTTCTTACCGTACTAATGCACTAGAGCATGTAGCTATAAATAGGATCGTAAAAGGGACACTATTCACAAGTGACAGAACCAGAAACTCATTTAATTTGTGCACAAAAGTTTTATTAACTAAACACTAACACATAAATAATCTAAGCAAAAAAAACATACAATCACTCATACATGGGCGGAGTTTAAATGGATGAATGAAAGGGTTAGAGAAACCAGAGAATGCAGTTATGGAAAATGAGTCTGTTAACCACATGAATGAAACCATTCTAAACCTCTGTTTCGGTCAGTTAAATGTACGATACTTGCATTGCCTTGGCCGTTGAACGAGCATCCGGATTCAGTCTCTTGAAAATCTTGATGGTTTAAAAGTTTGGAGGTGTTGGAGTTGCGATCACGTTCTTCCGGGTTTGAAGGGTGATTAAGTCCAAAGATGTTACTCTGACTCAGTGGTGGTTAGGAGAGTTTTCTCCTAGATGGAAAGTGAAGGCATGGCTGTAGTTGAGGCCTGCCAGGCGCAGGCGCAGGCCTGCCAGGCGCACCCAGGAAGGTGATGAGAGCAGAGACAAAAGCCAAAAACCAAAAGCTAGGCAGGTCACTGATGTGAGGCCTTATAAGTTTGAATTTTCATTTTTATTATTATTCTATGTTTAAGTTTGAACATCCATCCTTTGGTAAGAGTAGTAGTCACAATTTTCAAATGTAGCCGACTTATTTGGGGGATATCAAATTCATAAATTAGTTTCCACAAAGTAATTAATTGGTTATTCTTTATTAACTAGTCGTAGTTCACAAGTAGTTCTCAATGAGGATATTTTTATTGAATAATTATCAAATATCTAATAAGGAACTACCTTTGTCCTAAATTTGCCATTACTTACTGCTTAGTTAATCTTGCTTCTCTATTAGTTAATAGTATTAAGTTAAGTGTTAATATAGTACTACCTATTACTTCCTGCATAGTTAACAATGGACCATTATTCTAAAGTGTTACGGTTTGATGAAGGTCTCACCTCTGCGGGATCAAAGAGCCAATGGTGTCTTGAACATTTGGAGGGAAAGTTTACGACTCTTTGTCTTCGATCATGGTGTTTTGCATATGTAACAGGATTGAGTGTGCGTTCGAACCAGTTCACCAAATCGGTCTGAATCGTTCGAAACAGTTCGCATCTCCAGTAAGCAAACACTAAGCCACATTTACTAAAGTTACTCACTTTTTGACGTGCCTGACACTCCCTCTGACTCGAAATAAACCAACATCCCGGAGTTATTAAAAGCACATTAGTCAAGTTTTGTTGAACATCGGAAAGTGTGAAAATATAAAACATACTGGAAATGTTTTCATGACTTAATTACAGTCTTATCACTGTATGATCATGTGATTGAAGCAATTGATGGTGGAGCAAGAGAAACATTTTTAAAGTATTTATTTATTTATTTAAAAGATTAATGTATCTGTGTGTCTTAAAGGACTTTGTGTAAGCTATTTAATTGAGGATTCTGTTAAAGGGGTTTTTATGATCTCGGTTAGGGGTGTTGGACCATAATCATTGAGACGCTATGTTTAACAGGAAACAAGGGATGATTTATGAAATACCTGTAGGCCTACTGTCATTATAGTTAATGATGAAGCATTCATAAATTGAGTTTGTATTAAATAAACAATGTTTTAATAAAATTGTATTAAAGTGTTCAAACAATACAACAATTTTAACAAAGAACAACTGCTGGAAAAGTGCATTTACACACTGTAATTAACTCTAAATGTTTTACACACTATATTTAACAGGTACTGCCTGTTGTTTGTAAATTACAAAAGTTATTGTGCATTATAAAAAAAAACAAATGTTGAAAAAAAAGTGCAAAGGCAGTTTTAAACAGAGGTTTTAACCACTGTAGTGAAAAGCTGTAACAATATGCAGCTTGACCCTCTCTTATGAGGGTAGGTTTGAATTCAGAAAAACAATCTGCCTAACTTTGTTAGGACTCTGACCTGTAATCTGACCTGTTTTCGAAAAAACACTCTCTGATGGCACAGATGTAGCAACTATGCAAAGCCTCCTTTTCATGACAGCTGTCAACCCTTCATATACTGCTTGCCTTGCTTTCCACCAAGCCAGTGGGTCTTCCGTTCTTGGAATCAAGGTCTCTGCAAGATCCCCTCTCATTTCGGCCACTGCGGTGGATGTTGGGTTGCTGATGCGGACTGCATCAGCCACTCTTTCATCAAAATCCTCCCAGATTGAAGACTGCTGTTCAGAAGACGGAGGGGCTGGAGGAGTTGTGTGCTCAGCTTGAGTTTGCTCATCTGTACTGGACCAA